ATATATATATATATATATAAGTAAATGAAGAACAGGGCTACTTGACGAACACGGCTTTACATATGACCTGAGGAACGTGGTGCCTAACCTGACCTCACATGAGATCAGTTCGGATTACGATCCTAGAAGGCTCCTCTTACATTATATATTATGTACATTATATATATTATACATTATGTAATGAATTTATTAACACATCATCTAATCTAAGCATTTCTTTATTAAGATTCATAGTGTCATGCTTTTTGATCAAACAGCATTTTACAAACAGTTTGTTAACTTGACAAGTGTATTTATATATAATGCAGAGTCAAGTGCACTTTTCAGGCATATATGAGGTCAATCATCACGTGAATGAGTGGAATAATTCAATAATTCTTCTATGAATTTAAAGCTTTAAATATAAATTTTCAAATTGTGACTTTTTTTCCTACATTCACCTCACCTGCTTACCTTCCATGAACCATCTGTTTTTTTTTTCTCTCTATCTTCCTCTACAGTGAAACAGTTTTCATTCTAATCTTGCATTTAACTCCCTCCTTTGACTTTTTAATATGAATTCGTTCTTACTGTTTTTTGGCACATACGTGCAAATATCAAATATAAGAATATGGATCTCTACAACAGTTTATGTATCTCTTTATAAATTTTACTCTAAAGATATATATATATATACCACTTAGCAATTTGTTCGAGGCGAATGCGTGTAGAATATCAGAGGTCATCACTAGGGTTTTTCGTTTTGTTGTTGTTTCTCTCCTTGGATTTTGGTTTATTGTTATTATTACATAATTATGTTCCTTAGCCAATACATTATAAGTAAGCAAACAAAATACTTTCACATACAGTACAGATATATATCACAAGCGGAGCTCCATTTTTAACCCTTTGTTTTGAGAAAAAAACGCTTTATTTATTTGATATGCGTTTTTGATTCGTTTTTCTATGTTTTATTAACGAGTTTATTTAAATATATCGGCTATTTTTAGGTTTTAGTGTTAACGATGATTTAAGCTGTATTTTTTGAGAAAATGCAGGTCGTTTTCTACTGATTATCTAATAGGGCCAGATTAATATTTTTTATTCTCTGAATATATTATTAGTGTCTAGTTTAGATGTACAACACTCAGCATGCCCCGACACATTAGATCATGAACAATACAATCTACCATGACAAAATAGTTTTCACTTCTTACATATATAGCCAAAGCGAAATCTACCATAGCGTCGTAATTATTTTTATATTAAAGCTGTTTGTTGTTTTTATATTTGTCGAGTGGATTTTTTATTTACTTTTTTTTATTTTTAGAATATCATAGCTTGATTTCTTGTGTAAAGTCGTGTACATGTCGGTGAAGTGTGATGTTAAACGCTGAAAGCTGACGAAGCGATAGATCAATAGGCCTAATATTCGAGTTAAAAGAAAATAATGCTAGACTGGAGATGTTTTATCACAAATATTAGGCCTATAAGAGTGCTGTTGAGCATATATATGACCCTTAAAAGTTATAGTCTGTAAATGAATATATAAACATCAACTTATTTCAAATAAAAAGCTATCTCTCATAGGCATACTTGAACAGATATCTTAAATTAGTTATATATTTATATATAAACATAATAATCACAAACAGGATTTCACAAATGTTGTTTTTTAACAGTTATAGTGTACAATTAATAAGTTTGAAATTAGTGACTACAGTATTGCTTTCATGAAAATTTATAAGCTAAATCTTAAACCTATGTTAATTTTAAAAAATGCGTTCAGGATATATATTTTAGATAGAAGCATTTAAGTGTGACATGTTTGGAATTACGAACGTGACATTTGTAAGTAAATGATAAAAAAGTTAAAAACATACAGGATGGCCCAGAAGTACAAGGAGCGTAAAACATGCACACGATAAAGCCTTTCTGGTGGTAGTATCTGCTTAGAAAACATGCTGTGAACGCACATGTAAATTGAATAGATTTGTTTAAAGAGGTCTATTTCATTGTGTCAATTACTTTTGCTACATTTTCTGTACTGATGTAAACAATTACATTTATGATACATTAGAGTCCTATTACTTTTCGGTCACCCTGTAGAATGCTATTAACATGTTCTCTTAGTAGCAAATGTACAATATAATTTATTTCGTATTTTCAAATATAGCTTACGGAAATTTGGCCAACATTTTGAGTGCTCAAGGCAAGAAGAGCAAAGCAGAATGGGCTTACAAGAAAGCACTGAGTTATCGATCAAATATGGCAGATGTTCATTATAATCTGTAAGTGTTCTAGACTAAGCTCATTTAGTTAAATTAAGCGACCGTTTGAAACTCAGTTTTAACAATGGTTTAATGCTGAAAATGTAAAACTGTTTTAAAAGTAGTTTAACACTAAATGTTTGGAATTGTTTTAAGAGTGATTTAATATTCAAAGTTTGGAAACCAGCTTTAACAATCGTTTAATATTAAAAGTTTGAGACTCGATTTTAACAATAGATTAATACTAAAAGTTTGGAACCCAGTTTTAATAGTGGTTTAAAACTAAATGTTTAAAACCGAAATTTTATATTATCCGCAAGGAATGTTATTATTATTTAGTGCTTATTAAGCTTCTTCAATAAATTATTTCACTTTCATGTGTAAACTTGTATCTGTATCAATTTTAAACAAAAACTAATAAGTTTACTCAAATTGTCCTTTTACAGTTCATAGGTAACTATGTTTCTCATCAACAGCATAAACGTTATGCACGAACAAGAAAGTTTCTGACACTTATGTTAAATAGCTAAAAAAATATTTTTTGATAGACTCATTTTCATTATTATTTTTACGTAAAATGATATTTATGTCTTTGATCTGATGATCATGCATATATTTACAAGCAACTTTCTGTTTTACCTGCCCTTACTAGGGGTATCTTGCTTCAAGAACAAGGACGGTACGAAGAAGCCTTGCAGAGTTACAAGCTTGCAATCCAATTTCGACCCCGACTGGCAAGTATGTATCCAGTTTCGTTTATTTCTGTGTTCGCGTTAACATCATTAATTAGAACACTTAAAATTTTGATAGAAACGTTAGTTTTTACAGAAACTTTTGCCTTCAGTCAATGTTATTTTTCTTCGAGATATGTTTCTTTTGTTGTTTAGATTATATAGAAAGAACAATGGTCCGACTGAATAAATCTTAATTCCTCTGTAAAACAATTGAGGGATAGTTTCTGTATTCTAGCTATGATAATGCACCAGTACTGTTCGATAATTAAAGTCAGTAGCTCCCTAGTGTTCATTTTAATTACTTATACGCAATGATAACGATTAAAAGATAAGTGTTCATAAATATTTTTTAGAAGCTAGGCCTTATATGTTAACATACAATTTGAAAAAGTTAAGCCACAAGTAAATAGCGTCGCGTGTACAAATATAAGGATGTTACAAACTAGAAGTGAGAACGGTAAAATATATCTGAAGCAGACCCCACACAGTGGTGAGAATAATCCGTCTATCAGAATTAAACTTTTATTTACAAACCTCAAATGTAATGAAACTGTGAATTAAAATTTGAAGCAACTACATGTGCTCAAGTCCATAACTCCTATCAATTGAAAGTACTGTTCACTGTCTGTGGCTAGTGTTGAAAAGGTAGTTTCTTCTATTGTAGCTTGAAAGCAATAAAAACAACAGTAACTAAATATAGCCTAAAGGAAGGGGATGGGAGGGGGGTGATAAATGAAACTTATCTCCTGAAAGTTGCATTCTAGCCTCTATAACGATCATATCTCCATAAAAACACCATAAAATTTAAGCAGACTAGGGGCTAAATACCCTATTAAATAACTAATAAAAAATTCCCATTTACCTTTCTATTCCAATAACATGGTGAATTACCCAACCTCCTTTCTAACTAATAAGCTCTTATAATAGTTATGCAAGTGAAGTTTACTTTTTAATAAGCATATGCTCGTCACTCAGTGTTGCCTTGTCACGAGATAAAAACAGTCATGATATGATTAAAATAACCTACAATAAAAATACTTGCTCATATTAAAGAAGACATAACAATTATATTAAAATACGGGAGGGATAACGTGCTACAATAGCAGTTATCCTATACCTTCGACTTTTTTTTTTTCAATTACAAGACCTGTATTTTGTGCATGCTCAAGCACAGTAAATTTAATTACTTTTAAATATTCGAATACTATGCGGTAATTTACCTTGTGTTAAAACAATAGAACGCTAAAGCATTTTGGTCTATACCAGTAAAGCTACTAGCCGGTTATTACCCTACAGGAGATCAATTGTACGACACATGTGGCTCGTCACTCAGTGTTGCCTTGTCACGAGATAAGAACAGTCATGATATGATTAAAATAACCTACAATAAAAATACTTGCTCATATTAAAGAAGACATAACAATTACATTAAAATACCACTAGCATTGGTAAAGAATAGGTTGTTTTTTTAGACCAGTATTTCGTTTAGTATATGTCTTCTCTGTCAAAATAAGGTTTAGAATATTTATTTGAACTAGAAAAAAAAGTAAGGATTGTTTGCAGATACAAAAGACAAACTGATGATTTTAAATTACACGAATATGATTTTCTGTTCATATTATAACATGGCCGTAAGGAGTATTTATGTCTCCACAAAGAGTTTTTCTATTGTTTCTTCTTTCTTTTTTTTCTTCCAAACACTTTTCAATCGATTGCCATTTCTTTATTTCTCGACGAATTAACTTGAAACTTAGAAGGGTTATAACTTTGTTCAATACGCCCAGATTTCCATTTCATGTTGTTGTTTTTTATTATTTAGACCTTTTTAAGGATTTTTATGAGGTCAAAGGTCAAACAACTCAAAAATGTATATTTTCGGATAAGGTGCGGTCATATTTATAGTAATCAAGATAAAAATTAGCACACATATAAATTTTGATGCGCCCAACAGAATCGCATACAAAAAATTTGGATTTGCCTATTTTGAAACTTTTAAGGGAGGGCAAAGTTCCCAAGAAAGCATAATTATGGGGTTTTGGTGAATTACTAGGCCTTATTTTTACAAATTTAAATGTGATTTGGTACAAAGATACTTTTCTACAGGCTCCACACATTGACAAATACAAATGGTAGACTTGCCCACTTGTAGTAATTACAAGTATAATGAAAAAAAATAAATTTTATGAAGACAAGTAAGGATCGATATATGCATAACCTAAAAAACTATAGTAATATAGAAAGTATTGAAACAAGAAAGTCACTTAAATTTTAACATTTTTATCCCTACTCTGGCTCAGACTAGCATAATTCCAGTGATTTGCCAAAGTAGGGATAACATTTTTGGAATTTTAATTAACTCAGTTTTTTTAGTTTTGACTTTCTTGTTTCAATACTTTTGTAAAATTAAAACGTTCTTTATTACCATAGCTAGCTAGGTTATGTATATGTCGATCCCTACTTGTCTTTATAAAATTTAGAAGTTTTTATTATACTTGTTTGTTTCCTTTTTAATAGCAATGTTTTTGTGCACCAGCAATACCAAGCGTGAGACGCGCGTACAACCGATTCGATTGTATTACTCATCAGGATCTCTACCAACCTACCCTCAAAGCTAATTATATGCCCAAAGTAGAGCAACGACCATTTTATATATAATATATATATATATATACTAGTATCCTTTTCGGTACAAGAAAGGAATCATTGGGACCTCAGACGGAAGAGTTCTGCGAAAGAATTAGAGCGATAAGGTTTGTAATTTTTTCTGTACACTTGTCTGGAAAAGTCACTTACTTACTTAGATGAAAATTCGTTGAAATAGTGAGATTTTGATTCATTCTATAAACATGTATATAGCGATTTAGGCAGCCTATACTGTGAAATAGTCATTGTTAATATTCAGACAGGTGGTTTTAAACGGTCGATTTTTATGGCCGCCATTTTGTTTCATCACGGTCCCTACTATTAAGTAATACCGTACATAATGATAGTGGTCAAGATGCCACAAAAAACATAATTTTAGGGTATTCTGATTATAGCTCCGCCGTACTTCGGCCAATTTACATGAGATTTGATACAAAGATACTGTTTTACAGGTTCCATACATATACTTACAAAAATATTAGATATGCCCATTTTTTAGGCGGGTCAAAAGGTTAAATAAACTCATAATTTTAGGGGTTTTGGTCAATTGCTTAGCCTTTTTTCGACCAATTTACATAAAATTTGGTACAAAGATACTCTTTACAGGTCCCAGACAGTTTTGGAATTTTTGCCTTTTGCTCAATGTTTCTCCAAGAAAAGTACAATTTGGAGTTTTCTTGAACTATTCATGTGTATGTCTGTCAACTTACATGGGATTTGGTACAAAGATACCTTCATGCAGGTCCCAAGTAGTGATATAGACAGTTTTTGATTTTTTTGGTGCCAAAATTGGCCGTTAGGATTGCGTGGCAGAGACGGTTTGCATTCGCCTGCGAATATTGACCTCTTTAATGCTATTTGCGTTTATATGTAACTTTGTTTTTTGTTGTAATTTCCAATTTTATAAGTTTGAATGTAAGACAGGTAGATTTCACACTCACTTGTCTTTTAAGGAATTGATTTTTGATGGTTTGAGCTGAAACAGTCGTTAAAACTAAATGTTACATACCAAGAAACACATTAATTGTTTTATTATTGTCATTATGAAAGAATCAAAAAGTTCTGTAATCATTACTTCATTTACAGAAATTTCTAGAAGTGTCAGTAACTATTTCGAAATGTATGTGGGAATGGAGTTCGCGCATAAATACTACAAAAAAGTTTGATAAAAATGAAATAAACTGTAATGCACGCTTTCACTTTCAGCCACATGTCGAAACCAACAACTATTTTCATAATAGTCAAACAAAACTGAAATCACAATTAACCCATTCGACCACATACCAGGCTCCCGAAGCAGCTAGAATAAACCTTTATATCTTTGGTGTGTGTTAGGGGAATCGAAGTCCATATTCAGTTGAGGGTCTGTGGAAAGTTTAAGATGGATGGACTGTCTGAGACTGACTTTGCCATCATTTACACAAGCTTGTTACAAGGGAAATTAATTTCGGGTAGTAATGCACAGTTATGGCCATCAAAGTGAGCACCATCAAGAGAAACCAAGACCTAGAACATCGTTCGTATAATTAACCTCGGTACCTCCATAACATCTACTTTCACACAATGGTGCCCCCCAGTGGTACAGCTGTATATCTGCGAATTACAACTCTAGAAACCGGGTTTCGATACCCGTGGTTGGCACAGATATCCCGTTGTGTAGCTTTGGGCTTAACTTAAAACAAAAGAAACTCACACAATGCGAAAGATGTTCAGCACTCAATTACTGGAAGATGGGATCACAGCCGAAACTGAAAATGTTCAGTCGACTATGTTCAATCAATTTTCTGAATTATGTCACACTTCAACTAACCTGTTTTGGCAGATGTTCGGTTAGTTCCTAGGCTATTCAGTGAAACTTCCAAACAGAATCCATCGATACCTGAAGGCTGAACTTTGAAACCTAACATTTCTGTTTCATGAACAAGTTTTAAGTAGGTTTCAGTGCAACTGTGATATAAGACTCCCCCCCATGATTTCACTTGCATAATTTATTAAATTTTATTTATACGTTCTGGGTTTGCCTTGTCACTTTATTTTTTCTTTAAAATCGATATTCTATGTTATTTTTGTTTAACATGCTAAATTTTCTTTTAATTTATTTAAAATCTTGTTATCTTTATTATTATGCCCCCACTGCAAGCATTGCAAAGCGGGGCGTGTTTGGTTTGCACCTGTCCGTACGTTCTTCCCGAACTTGAGGTTAAAATATATCAGGATTGGGTGTAAGAATTTTGACCAATCGTATATAAAAGGTACTATATACAAGGTTATAGATCTGATTAACTTTTCAAGGCCATGAATCAAAGGTCAAAAGGTCACTGATAGACTGTATAAGCAAATCCGCCCCATTCGAGCGGTCTTAAACATGCAGTAGAACACTAATGAGGGGCATAAGTGTTTCATAAAAAAACAATTTGTACTTGTTTTGAATTATTTCGTTTTATTAAAATTAGATATATCAAAATCGTATTGGTAAAAGAAGCTATAAGGCCTGAAATAGTTTTCTCAACTGAAAAAAATAAAAAAATCTTCCTTCATTGCTTCATGAAATATTTTACAATTTTATGATAATTTCTGAAATACTTTATTAATTAATCTTATTTTGAAGTGTTTGATTATTACTTCAAGCTTACACTTTTTCTTTTTGTTTTTTCATTTTTTATGCTTTTGACAACTGCCACACGAGCCAGCACGGTATCTTGATGTGGATCAATAAGTGAGTCATTCCGGAAAGATTTGGGTTGTTTTGATTAGACAAAAAGATGTTTGGTACAATTTTGAAGTCTAGGTAATTGGACCAGACCTGTGACCTGACCCCAAACCATGAGAGTAAACATGGAAAAGTTAATATGTAAATGTACCGTAAAACGATGTAACAGTAAAACATGCTTGAAATGTTCTAGATGTGGTTGTGAAAGTGATGGTTTAAGTGTAGCGATTAAGTTAAACCGTGAGTCCAGGTCGGATGGCCCCCCAATGGCGCAGCAGTATGTCTGCGGACTTACAATGCTAGAATCCGGGTTTCGATACTCGTGGTGGGCAGAGCACAAATAGCCCATTGTGTAGTTTTGTGCTTAGTTACAAACAAACAAACCAGGTCGGATGAGAGAAGAATTTATTCGAAGATATCCCAATCGATTTGATATACCAGCTGAATCAAAGGTTCGCAATTAATTACTACATTGACAACAAAACATAAAACAACGAGCACAATAATATCGTTATCTTCAAAAAGGAGGATTGGAATCAGATATAAGAAATCATTAGTTTCAATAAAGTATGAAACTAACGGCACAGTAAAGCCCAAAGATGCTTGAGGTTGAAGCAGATGCACGATACATTACAAGTTGATTTCCCAAGCGATTACCAAATTAAAAATGCCATTTCTGCAATAAAGAATAAATATAAGAAAGATGATATAATACCAAGTATTGGTACCACCATTGTATAATCCACATAGTTTTCATCATATCATATTTTTTCTTTTTGTTTTAGAAGTTGTCCCGAGTTTCATTCATCGAGATGTATCGAAATAACCCTAAATCACCGGTTTCCGGAATGATCCCCCTGTTGACCATTCTGAGCTCCGTACTAAAAGATGCTGAGCTGGTTGGTGTGACAGGTGTTAATTCATGTTTAGGGTTTTACGTTGTTTAGTTTTTCCCGTCATCCTTTAAACGTATAAACTTATTCCTTGGTATGCTTTCATGGCAATGTATACCTTCTATAGAGGAAATAAACATTTCTCTCGCCGTTCTGAATTACAAAATTGCACATTAAAATCAGTAACACGAAATCAGTCAAAGTCATAAATAGTTTTATTGGTGGTAGAGAGATCATATGTTAACTAATGACCTGTAACACGTCTAATAAATTTTTTAATACGAAAGAGGTTTTGACATTTGTTAATGTTCATTTCTTTATCATAGTGGCTCACCTGAATATGGGATTAGTGCTGGGAATTCTGGGTAGAAAACAAGAAGCAGTTGAGGTGAGTTAGGCCTTCGAGCGTTTACTGTATTCTTGCTTGTAACGAAATATTAAAACAATACAGAAAACTACATTTTGCACATTTAGTTTTGAAATAATCTCTCTTGTATGCAAATATTATAAACTAAAAGGTATGTAAGAAGTGTGTTAAACAAATTTCGAAAAGTAGGTAAAAGATTATCAAGATTTACCTCCAGCTGTAGCATTTGCAAAGTGACCCGAAGTGTTAAACATTGTTAAAACATTAGCAGAGAACTTACCGAAAATTAAAAATTTGCATGGCTGTTTACAGATTGGAAAGTATTCAGTAAATAAGAGAAGTGAAAATATAATCTCAGATCAAATGCCGTCTGTTTATTTTCAATAAAACTTGACTAGTATGAAGGAATTTGGTTAAAATTGGTAGGTTAGCAGTGTTATATGGCTCCCCTAAGTGATTATATTATATTAAAAGCTTTGTAACGGTGGGTCGGGCGTGGCCCTGTAGTTACCGTGCCCAGACTATGAATTAGAGAATTCATTATTTGCGTCCCATTGCCCAAAATTCACGCTCTTGGGGACGTGGATGCACTATAAGAGTCACTGTAAAATTCTGCTATTCGATCAGACAAGGGTTGGCAGTGGGTTCTATTAACTAGCTGTCTTCTCTATAATTTATGAGTTAAAAATTAGGAACGGCTATATGCAAGAGCCTTTACGTTGCTTTGCGCGAAATTCTGAAGCAAACAAAGATTGTAATGGTATCTAAAGTAGAGTTGGTTAATAAGCTGGAGAACTTAGAAATTCGCGCTGTTTTTTTTTCCAATTTTATAATAACATGCTCACCTTCCAACTCATAATATTATATATAACATCATTTCTCTTTGGTTTAGCGTTTTCATCTTATTTGCCAGCGTAGTCTAATTGGCGAACCGCATCCGATTTGTGCACTCATTATTAATCACATCTTAAAGTTCAAGTTTACGCATAAAAAAAAGACATTTTGCTCGCAAATATATTTTGAATAGGAAAGTCCCATAAGTAATGAATCATGGTTGTTCAATGTTACTATCATTTACATTTTGTCCTGTCCCTCATTTAGCAGTGATAGACTAAAGGAAAGACAGCTCGTCAACACCACTAACTCGCAGACTGCAAGTCGGGCGCCCTAACCACCAGGCCATGCAAGGCTGAACAAAATTATGAACCATCCTGTTATATACAAAGTTGGATTTTTTCACTTATGACTCGTTTTAAAAGTGCTGGACAGTATACCTAATAATGTGCTTTAGAGCTGAATAGGTTATTTCTAAGCGCTTATACAAATGTTTATTTCAGGTTAAAACTCGTCAGAGTTAATTCCCATTATACCAGTGTTGCAAAAAATACTTAGTTTTGTTGTTTCCTCAGGGCAGTATTTGCTGAGTTCTATCTGACTGTTATCATAATATTGCGGTGAAAAGCTATCAAGTGTTCTAACAATACTGCTTACAGAATTCTTGTAACGTACTCTGTACGCCTTTGTAATTTAGGTGTATCGTCGCTGTGCCCAGTTAGACAGTGCCGGCCTCAAGGATCCAAAAATGCATGAAAGTACCAAAATATCGGCGCTCTTTAATCTGGGCCGTTTATACGCTGACGAAGGAAGGTATCAGGTTCGTATTCTAAATTTTCGATGTGCAATTTGATACTTTACTGACTGAATAGATAGATATATTCTTACCCAGGATAATATGTATAATAAACGCGAAACATTAAACATTTCTTCTATACGTTTCATTTTTACCTCTACACTTAGCTTTTCCTTTTCAATCTTCTCACTGATATGTTTGTTGAATGTCCATAAACATGATAAACTTCAACTAATATAAAGGATATCCAACCACATACCTTTAGGTCGAATATAAATTTTCTATGATGTTTTAACATCTGAATAAAAAGTTTTTGATTAACGAAAAACAAATTATTTGGATACCCATATTGTCGCCCCCTAAAAGTGTATGGTATCAGTTAATCGTATTAGTCACTTAAAAATCAACTTGGGTAAGTAACAACGACATTTAAATATATTTGAACAGCGAAACCCATCTGACGAAATAATATTTTATATTATTTGTTTTATGTGATTATATAATTTTCAACGTCAACTTGGCTACCGTCCGTTTTATTTAGAATCGTTTTAAATGCTCAGTATTGTGTTATAATAACGTTTGTATGTGTATTTTTAAACAGGAAGCTATCGACGTTTACCAGGAGGCAATGAATAAAATGCCCGATCACTATCAACCTCAGTCGCTGTATAACATGTTAGGTAAGGAGTCAACCTTAATCGCTGTAAAATATTTTAGGTAAGGAAACAACCTCAGTCGCTGTATATTGTGTTAGGTAACGAATCAATCTCAGTCGCTGTACATTGTGTTAGGTAAGGAGCCAACCTCAGTCGCTGCACATTGTGTTAGGTAAGAAGCCAACCTCAGTCGCTGTACTTTGTGTTAGGTAAGGAGTCGACCTCAGTCGCTGCACATTGTGTTAGGTAAGAAGTCAACCTCAGTCGCTGTACATTGTGTTAGGTAAGGAGTCAATCTCAGTCGTTGTACATTGTGTTAGGTAAGGAGTCAACCTCAGTCGCTGTACTTTGTGTTAGGTAAGGAGTCGACCTCAGTCACTGCACATTGTGTTAGGTAAGAAGTCAACCTCAGTCGCTGTACATTGTGTTAGGTAAGAAGTCAACCTCAGTCGCAGTATATTGTGTTAGGTAAGGAGTCAACCCCAGTCGCTGTACATTGTGTTAGGTAAGGAGTCAACCTCAGTCGCTGCACATTGTGTTAGGTAAGAAGTCAACCTCAGTCGCTGTACATTGTGTTAGGTAAGGAGTCAATCTCAGTCGTTGTACATTGTGTTAGGTAACGAATCAACCTCAGTCGCTGTACTTTGTGTTAGGTAAGGAGTCGACCTCAGTCGCTGTATATTGTGTTAGGTAAGAAGTCAACCTCAGTCGCAGTATATTGTGTTAGGTAAGGA